TTACATATGTACAAGTCATCCACTAACCCACCTTTTTCATTTATGCAATTCTTACAGAAAGATATTTTTTTCTGTGATGAGGTCACACAGAAATAACATATCTCATTTTTAATATATATTAAATGTAAATTGTATAACTTTTGCATAAGCGTCAAGCATCGATACGTCCTAGACTAACATATTAATTGTACATAAAGTTTGCACAATTGTATATGTAGGTAAAAGCTCAAGTTATACAAATTAAATATCTATTTCCTTTAGAGTATTCTATAATAAATTATTAATAATTTGTAAATTTAATTATTCAACAATGGAACAAATATATAATTTTAGCAAATATGTATAAGATTTCACCTCAATAATGTAGAGTTAATAAATTTGCAATTGAAATAAATTTGTAATAACATCTATGCTCATATATTTGCCGTCAAACGAAAGTAAATATGTACAGACAGTTCTAATCATCAACAGAAAACTGTTAAATATCTGTTATTTCGTTAATTCAATCGTACCACGGAATTGTGATATGAAGAATGTATCTCGTAATTTCCTGTTTCGTTGAATTAGAAGAAAGTTTTGGAATTGACAATGAAGCAATTTAATGACTACTTCATGATGCAGTTTTATTGAACTGTCTTACGGCTTACGGCTTTGTTTACAATCTCTCCCGCTTTCAGCTGAAAGATATAAACGGTAACTGCCATTTGAGATGTCTGAAAGTTTTGTTTCAGTACTTCCGAGTCCTCGTTACGGCCTGTCGATAAAAATCACAGCGGACTCGTTAGTTTGTTGGCCGAGCGGCGCGTTCCAGCCAGCCTCCGTTTCTTTCAGAACTTTTTAATATCATTAGGTTTTGCGAAATACAGTTAAGGATCTTTAAGGCGCTTTTCTTGTAAAAGAGCGCGCGCGGTGGGATTTTTAAGTTTGTCCAGCGTTTAACAGACACAGGAAGATTCGCAACAGCACGCAAGAGCTGTGCAGTAAAAATAAATTGGCGGAAACGAGTGCTCCTAGACAGCATTAGTTCGCGTCGGCCAGCATACACTACCAGCTCGGAACCTTGTAACTTCAGTGAAACGTTCCAAAGTTGCTCGTTAATGTCCATAACGACATGTGTCTGTGTTGATCTTTAATCTCGATATTATCCAGAGGAAATATTTTATTTCAATATTTCACACAACACAGATTGGTCAACATGAATGTAAAATAGACTTATACATATAATAAAGTTATATATATTTTGTCAGTTTGGTCAATTTTAAAAGAACTTGCCCGTGTTTAATTACCACTGGCAACGGTAAGCCTCACTCAATTGGTTGAGTATATAATAATTAAATTTGCAATAGAATATCTTACTCATAAGAACTCTTACTGCAAAAATACTACCTCAGTCAGGATAATATAAAAAATGTTTAATATTTCTTTAATTAATTCTATAAGCAAATTAATTTCTTTATGATTCATTAGTTGTTATTTGCGTATTATAAAGTTTAAAATACATATGTGTATCTCTTCTATTTCATAGTTAAAGAAAGATCCATGTAATATTTATAAAACGTCTATTAATGCAACTAGTGGAATCAAATGAAAGTATGAAATATGGAACTGTGAATGTTGTTGTCCACAGTAAATATAGAAAATCGCATGGATATCTAATGGGGACTTTAAATTGCAATGACGGCTAGTGGACACTATCTATTTGAGATTTTGTTTTATATAGAATAGAGTTGAACTCTCACCACTTATGACGTTCCAGGAAAAGAAGACCACCTCTGGCATCATTCCACATTTGTAATCGCAACTTGCTTCAAAACGTCATTAATACTTCTTACCTAAATTAAAAATTTGTTATTTGCAAATATACACCAGTATAGATTTGAATAATAAAATAGTCAAGTGCCAGAAATTGACGAGCACTGCTAAGTGTATAAGAGTTCGTAGATAATTATCTATTTATTTGAAAATGATTATTCTTTAATCAATTTCATAAGTTTTATTAATTTAGAATTTGTACTAAAGAATTAGGTGAAAATATGTGTAAAATTGGACAGAACTATACATAATCAATATAACACCTAATAAACAATAAAGAAACGCATACACATTTTATCTATTTAAATGGAAAATCCGAGGATGAATATTATGATGAAAATCTAAAATATTTTATATGCACTCTATGGTTCAATCAATTCGTGGCACACAGATTACACATTTCATAATGGAAAAGCTTGTAAGCTCTTTAATTCCCAAGTTATACTATTATTCACTGTAATTAGAATGAAAAAATTCCGCTAAAAAATGTTTCTATTTTAAAATCGTGTTAAGCTTTTCACGTAGTTATTAACTCATTAAACATTAAACTCAATTTAATGTTACATAAATTTACTAATTTCCTTTAAAATTATTAGTAATTACATTAATTTGGATTCACGCATGGTATTGTAAAGTAAATAAAATAGAACTAACAATTTAAGCATCTCTGTTTTGCTTTTCTTAAGAAGTCTGTTTTGCCTTCATGCCATTACTGCTGGATTAATATCAGTAGCGGCTAAGAAAAGAGTTAAACTTCTGTGTCACGCTCTCCGCTATTAGCCTGCACAAAGGAGACATTTGCGAATTGACAATTGGAGGACGTGTCAAGCGTTTAAATGGCGACGCTTGCCGTCGTCACGGAGCTCTTCGTCGTTTGCTCCCAAGATTGCACCGAACTAACCGGACGGCGAGTAGTGTTAGTCATTGTCCGCGGATGCGCCATCGTTGTTGTAGACGATGATCAAAGCGCATTACTCGCGCGTCACTCATAACCAATGGAATCTGTCCAATGCCGATGCTCGCCGACAATTTCGACCAGAACTCAACCGGGAAGCGGATTTCATGGCAATCCGCACGCCTATATCCCACCCAGACCGACGAGATCAAGGAAGTGATCGATTCCGGAAGTGGCATGATCGCCTTCTCCGATTTATGTCCATGCTCAATTTAATCGTTTAGTTTCCAGGACATTTCAAATTGTTTTTTGAACTTATATCAATACAGACATATATACATCGATTCTCTATAGTTCTTATAAAAGCTTTATAAATTTAGAATTGTTTAAGATGTTAACTTTGAATGATTAAAATACTAGTGATCTGTAAAACCACCTGCGAAGCATTCATGATTTACAAAGTGTCTTGTATTATCGGCCTATCTATTTAGTAAATTTATTTATATCGCATTATTCCAATAACCGTCTACATTACAAATCTTCGTGTTATTATATTTCATAATAAATCAACTATTCTCAGAACATACAATGAGATGTCATTATAGAGGATTTATCGGTTCAGATCAATTCAACTCAAACAGAGCTTCGTAGAACCTTTCCGCTTTTCAATTTTGTTTCCGACATCAATGCATTGCCAGCAATTAAGTCAAATAAATCAGCCTATTAAATTATAAATACGATTCACGTTGTGAATATTTTACAAGACTAAACGGTTCGGTTGTGAGAAGTCAAAGGTATACTTTACTTTTATCCCGCTTGTGGAATTTCCAAGATTTCCCTGTAAAATACACAACAAGGGACTTAGTATTTAGTGCATCAACGATTATATTTGATATTTACAAGTCACAGACGACTGTCCATCTCTAAACAATGTTCTCTGATGTGTATGTACCAGTAATCTTAATTTATTAAAAATTATTGTCCCATTTCTCTCCAAGATTAAAACAAGCATAAAATTCAATGGTATTATTAGTACTTAGATTTTCACTCTACATCAATGATGATTTAAATTGTGTGATTATGTGATTATTGAACATGTGTAATAGATACTTATCAGCTAGTAGATCACTAACAGCTTCTGAATATGAGTCCCAAGAGAAGCGCAGGATTAAACAGTTCTAAATGTAATATCAGTATTACACAGATATTGTACTATTAGCGGAAATTACTATATATAGAGATAATTACGAAAAATGAGAGAATAAAAGGGACAAGAAAATGATATATTAATAGAATATTTAATTGGTATAATTATTTGTTGCATTATATTTATCAATATAACCGTTAATTTCTCAATTTTATACTTTTACAACACATAATGCAAATTTGCATTTAATAAAAGGATTTCGCTGACGTTAAAACATTTCAATAAAAGTCATCAATATAAGTTAATGAAAAGCATTGACAGTAAAATAACTACGTAAATTCAGCTCGATACCAGACTGCAGAGAGAAAATATAGACATACATTGATAGTAATATATATGTATTACTATTAATAAAATATATCTTTTATTTCGCAAAATAATTTTGACAATATTGCCCTTTTAACACACATTTAAATTCGTTATTTGTAAATTTAATGTAAATTAATGTTTATGTAGAATTTGATATTGCATGCAGTTTTGTGTGTGAATTCTTCAAATTTATTACGTCTGATAATATGTTGGCGTAAAAATGTTAATGTTAATGTAAATTAATGTTTACGTGGAATTTGATATTGCGTGTAATCTCGTGTGGGAATTCTTTGAATTTATTAACTGCGATATGTTTTTACTAATCGCTCGAATTAATATGCACAGTGACAGCAATGCTTTATTCCCCATTAAGTTGCTTCGAAAATTCGCCCGTATGTTTTAATCATGTATTATGCAAAACTGGGAGGATGCATAGTTATCCGTTGAATTTGCGCTCGTTAATACGCTCCGCGCAAAATGCGGCCAGTAGTAACATCCATTTTATGTGCAATTCATTCTGTTGTAATAGAGTATCGATCCGCATCGACGCGAATGAAACCGATATTTAATTTTTTCAACGTGCGAATATACATTCTTTTCCCGCGGGAAATAGCTTGCGTGATCAGTGTTAAATTATTTTCGATCTTGCCGAAGGACAAAAAATTGCGATAATTTAATAATTACTCAAATGAAATGGATCTTTCTCGAGTTTATTTCAGCAAATTGCTTCAAAATTATTGAAATATTTGACAGGAACGATAACATTAAATACGTATTTTAATTCTTATCTGCTACACATCTAGAATACGTCTGGATTCTACGTAGTCACTGGATAATCAAAATGTACGAATCTCTAGCGCTAACAAATCGAAATGATGCAAATGCGACGCGACCCGATGCCGATTTAAATGCATCATGTATAAATGCCTATTTATAAAATGTACATATATCGTGCTTTTATAGTAACTAAAATATTCAGTCGCAACATTATATATTCTTGCGCTAACAAAGCCGATTGGAACGCGTTTCATGGGATTTCGTGTGCGGAGGCAGAGAAAACTTTTTTGAACGAAAGAATTGCGCCCGCCGTTGTATGCCGGTTGTAATTTACAAGTTGCTTTAGCCGATTTACCGTTCCGGCTAATTGGCAACGTAATTACCTCAAAGCGTTGCGCCAACGAGGCCGCCGTCGCGCACAGATACACACGAGTATTCGACATCGTGCTGCAGCTTTGTACTCTAATTAACGGATGCAACAACTCGCACCGAATAAATTCGCCTTTGTGTTTTGCAGGCCATTATTTACATATCATGGATCCACGGCGCCATTTCAGCCTCTTTTCGGCAGCATTAACCCTGCTCGCGCGCGCAACACGCATGTTGTTGCGCCGTGACGCCAATAAAAGTCCCCAGTACGTTTGTCTTCGGAAAGATATAAATTTTAAATGCTTTTTGTAACTCGATATTATTTTCATAATAAAGTACTGCAATATTTTTGACATTAATTTTTAACGTAAAGAATTATTTAACGCCAGTAATTGATTAACCAATGTAGAAAATTGCATGACGACCGATGGCTGGCAAATTCTAATTCACTGCAAAAAATATTTGCGCAAAGATCTCGTCAGTAGTATATTACAGTATAATATTACCACATGCCTGAGCGGTCGAATTGGTGAGACGCCCGCCTAGAGTGTAGGGGGGTCCAGGTTCAAACCCTGGCTGAGGTAATATTTGTCGCAATGAATTTCTTTAATTAGAATTCGCCAGCCGTTGGTCGTCATGCAATTTTCTACATTGACTAATTTTTAACTTAAATTTTTTAGGTGGCGAGTATGGTGCAAAGAAATGTACGCTGCTTGGTAGACAAGTAAACGCAAAGATTCGAGTTCAAATCCACGGACACTGCTGGTTGTTTCGGAATTTCCCGAAGGAAAGTGGCTACCACCGAGAATATTCTGCCACACATACCTCTTTAAGGGGTACAACCCTCGAGATTGGAGGTTTTCTTCGGTGAGGTTAGCAGCCTACCGAAGGTGAAGTAAAACCATATGCTCAAAGTAGCAAAACGAACTGGATAAACCAGACTTTAACCCAGATAGCCCTCAAGCAATGTATGGAAATAAAATGCCAGCAACTGATCCTAGCTCTTCGCTAGGAATATACAATGTTTGAGCGATTTAAGTGCAGCCAGCATAATGTTAGCATATTGTCGTAGTTAAGTGCACAGCTAAAGAGAGAACACGTCGAATGGGCATACTGTTAGCAAAGAGTTAGCACATATTATTTTCAATTTTCTAACAAATATAAATATATATCTATTACATCTGGCCAAGCACTTAATGCTAGCATATTTGGATCATGCAAATGTTTTATTTCCGACATCAAATGCTAGCAAACAACAGCACAATAGATGGCATAGATGAACAGCAAGATGCTAACATTTTTGTTAGCAATACGAAAGCAACTTGTGCTCACACTGGTTATCTTGGAAGCTCACTACTCGAGGAAGAAGAAGAAGGATATTTTTAACATTGTTACTGTATAATATTACAACAGCAAAGATACAACTGCGTATAGAATTCTATTCTGGGGCCTGTTAATTACAG